GTAAACTTCGTGGTCTGACAGTGCAAATAATCCTTCGTCCTCCAAAGCACAGAGAGAGAGAGAGAGAGGGAGGATTATGTTTTTGTCCCTGAGCTCCCTGGTTAGGCGTATCTCAATTTGTGAGTTAGAATGGACGGCATGGCTTCTGACATTCTTCCTTTTTCAGCTTGGGATGAAGGGAAGATGTAAGGTTCCATGACGATGACAGATCCCGGATGGGAATATTCAATATCAGCGACTGAAAAGTCAGCAATTGTTCTGATCTTGCCTTTGTTTGTTCTTTGGCAGTATATGTTGGTATCGCTACCATTGGAGGCTTTGGATGGTGGTTCTTGTACAGCAGCAGTGGGCCCCAGATGACTTGGTCCCAGCTGGTGAGTTTATTTTCCATCTAGTCTTCCATTATGTTGCCTGGGGACAACAATGGGGTAGGGGAAAAGTAGGGGTAACGGGGAAATGTAGGGGTAATCGGGAATGAGGGGGTGCAGGGGTGGCAAGCATCGACGAGAGTAGGGAAAGAAGTCCAAAATCGTTGCAAAAATGTAGAGGGAGAACGAAGAGCATACACCTTGCATGTGGAAGGAGTGGAGAGGCAAAATTGGGAAAGAAGTACGGACTCAGTTCTAAGTATTTGGACTTTTGGCATAGGGGACCAGGGTATTCATATCTGGCCCTGACACTTCGGTGCAAGGAACCAATCAATGGGACATTGGGAACTAAAAATTTCCAAGCTGCAAATGACTGAAAGCAGGACAAGCACATGTGAGCAAAGTCGAAAGCGGACGTAAAACGCCGAGGGCACAAACACACTGATCGCCGAAGTCTTGATAATGAAAGAGCAGCTTCTCCCCTCCAAGAATCAGTACATCGATGTCGTCAGCCCTACTATGATGTGAGGGCCTTCGCTCTTCTTCTACTTTGTATGCATTCCTACTTCTCCCTCTCACACTATCTCTGTCCAGTATCTCCTTGCCTAGCAACGCTGCAAGGTCTGGCCACCACAAGTCTGGTCCTTGGCCATTACCATGTAAGTTTCGCTAGTCCCTACCGCTGTCCTTCACCCCGATCTCCCTTGAGGCTGCGTCGGTGTGGACTGGGAAACTGGGAACCTCCCAGACCGAGAAACTTCTGGACTGAGTACCAGGGGGCCAACCTGCTGAGGCCTGGAGCCTCACATCCGCATGACTTTTTGTTTTTTTTCCTTTTCGTTTTGGTGGATGGAAAAGCTAGGTGGGTACCAGGGGGAGGGGGAGGGGGAGGGGGAGGGGGTATTGAGTTGGTGAAAGCTGGCGAGAAGGGCGAGAGCCGCTGCTGAACGACCGCTGTCTTTGGCCACGTCATTCCGTCAGCCAAAAAGGTTCCGTGCACGTGGAACAACATCTTGCTTGCTTGCCTTTATTGCTTCGAACTTTATGCTTGCGGCGCCCTTCAGATCAACATCACACCAGCAAGATCCACACTATATTAGTACACAGAGAATTACAACTTGAAATTATACACAGGTTTCTCAAGCCCGCCGGCGAAGCCCACCAGTAATAACTTCGAGCAGGTAAATCTCTCTCTCTCTCTCTCTCTCTCTCTCTCTCTCTCTCTCTCTCTCTCTCTCTCTCTCTCTCTCTCTCTCTCTCTCTCTCTCTGCTACCTTTAGCCAGCTGCCCACCCAAGCAATTCCTCTGCTGTGTCTTAGGCGACAGCAGGGCAGCATGGAGAACTCTGTGTGGCGACTGGAATTGCAGTGGAGATTATTGCTTTGACCCGAGCCCCAGCAGGTTGCAGCGCAACGCTGCTGGGCTGGGAGCAAATCTCCAGCCAGTAGGCCCTTGTTTCATCCGGGGCCTTCGGTTGGATGTGTTTGCAATCTGCAGTCAAAATTGACTTCTGGAGAGTTCTCGAGAGTTTTCCTCCTGCCGGGTCAGACTGGGCCCGACTTGCCCAGCTGGCCTAGTAGACCTGCCAGCTCTTACTCAGTCCCTCAGCACTCGAACATTTCTCCTAGCCTACCCCCATGGCCTCTACTCTGGGCCTGTTATGCGGGTTGTCCCACTCTATTGCCGTGCACACGACTTGTCGATCTCCCTGCCTCATAAATATCGTCCTGCGCACACGCACACACTGTGATGTGTGTGTGCCCTCGGATCCTTGGGCGGTTTGCCAGATTTACCGGATTTTCGTATTCTACTGCTAACTCAAGTATCTTGTGAGCACGGGATCTGCGGGAATGCTTCTGAGTCGGGACCTACTTACTGTGATTACTCAGTAACGTATCTCCCAAATTTCATTACGTTCGAATTGTTGCAGCAACTCTGATGTCTTCTGATCATTTGTGGGCCTTTTCTTCATTCACCTTGTTTCATTCTGCAGGTTTCATTTGACAAGTGTGTCGAGGGTGCACAGAGCTACTCGTGCGCAGTTTTCCATGACCGCCGGCCAAACACGGTCGCAATGAGCGTTCTGGTGACCGTTGAAATGTTCAATGCGCTCAATAATTTGAGCGAAAATCAAAGCTTGCTGTGAGCTCTCTTGTACCTCTGACCCCTCTTTTTTGGTTTTTGGTTTTATTTCTTTTTGTCTAGTGAGTCAGGTTTTTTTTGTTTTTTTTGTACATGCTTTTCTTGGCTTGGCTTTTTTTTTTTTTTACAACCTCAGATTCTTGGATCATTTCCTGTTTTTTAATAAACTTCCTATTTTTTTTAGTGTTACGATCCTGGTCATTCCCAAAGTGCAAATTGACAATGAAAGATAATGCCACCCAATTACGAAAGAAATGAAAGCACGTGCAAAGTGATAGAGACCAGAGAAGAGAGAAAGAAGAAGAAGAAGAAGAAGAAGAAGTAGATGTACACCAGCAAGACCAATGACAAAACCCCCTTCTCTCTTCACCTTCCTCCTCCTTAACTTGTCCAATCATATCCTTCTTCCCAATAATAATAATAACAATGAGTGGATGAACCCGAATCAATATCCGAAGTTCCCTCTTACTGTTGACACAACAACAACCACAACAGGTCCACCATAGCTATGGCTTCCCCCCTTCTTCCACTTCTCACAAGCCTAGGCTATGGCAGACAACTGAGGGCTCTGCCCCTCTCTGTGCACAGGACAACACAAAAAAGCAGCTATGGCGCTGCACTCCTGTCCAAAGGACAACCCAAAGCAGCTATGCCGCTGCTGACTAAGCCGCCATGCCTGACTCTGCCTCGAGCTTCCTTGGTGTGGCACTACCCCAACTGGGGCCTTCCAGATGCAGCGCCCAACAAGGTGATGAAGATGGTGTCCACCATAGCCAGATAGGTACCTCGCCACTCTCCTCCTTCGCCCCCTTCTTCTTTCTCCTCAAGCTGGGCTGCTCGCCATAGCCAGGCTGAGCACCCAGCTGCCCTTCACCTCCAGGCAGCGCTGTACAAGTCCAGCGCTTGGCTCAGCAGCATGTCGCCAATCCTTGCATACCACAAATGAGGAGGAGCTACTTGCTCCTCCGGAAGATATAGCGGCCTACTGGCCTCTTGGGCGGTGACTTCCTAGGCCGAGGGGCCTCCCAGCGACGGGTACCTCCTCCCTTTCGGAGGGAAACAACATCATTGCAGGCTCTGCTATCGTCCAGACAGGCCCTAGACTCAGGCTACTTGGACTCGAACCGGCCTACGTCTATCCTACAGCTATTGGGCCTCTAAAAATGCAACTTTTTTTGTCTTCTTCTGCTCGGCCTCCAGAACCCGACACTCCTACCAGTGGTATCGGCCTACCTGCTACTTGAGTGTTTTTCCCCGCTGCTCTTAAGTGTCGCGGGCCTACCCCCGCTACTTGAGTGTTTTCCCCGCTGCAACCCTCAAAGTCACGGCCACAGGTAAGTACCGGCCCTGGGGGGCCTTTCAACCAACAAGTACCCTTGCGGGTCACACACGCACTCAGACGACAAGCACTCAGACAGGCATGCAAACCAGCAGGCACGCACACACACACAGACATGGAAACCACAGCAGAATGCGCGAATCTCAGCAAGGCATTCATTCCAGCGGCAAATCCCAGAAATCAGCAGTGTTCTCAATTTGTCTTTTTGGTGGGTCATTACACTACCCCCCTCTCAAGAGCGAGGTCCCTTCGAGCGAGTAACTCATTCATAGTCGGCACAAAATGCATCGTAGGCGTAGATCAGAAAGAGAGATTTAGTAAGACCGTGAGGAGTGAGTTTTGCAGAAAACTTAGCAGTCTGTCCATCAGCGATCTGTCGTTCATAAGCGTTAACAACACGTGGAGCATTCTTTAGCAGCTCTTTTCGGTCAATCCAGAAAAACTCGTTCAATGGGTGATAGAGGAAGTGAACCTTGTACTATTTGTTCCTCCCTTCTCCTTCATGGGAAACAATTATGTCTATCTCATGGCCGTCGTCAATAGAACGAGGTATCATAGGATCTCGGAAGGGAAAAGTCTCATCATCGATGTGTGGAAACAGTTTGGACGCGTGAAAGACCGGATATGTGCGCAGAAGAGGAGGCACGTCAATCACATACAAAGGACCAAAATCATCCCCAATCACCTTTAGAACCTGCCAAGGGCCATACTACAATGGAAGAAGCTTTCGTGATATGCCCTCTTCGTCAGAACTCAAACATTTTGACCCAGACATAACTCCCTACTTTGAAGTTCCCTTCTTTGCGCGACTGGTTAGCATGTTTGATCATGGCATGCTGACACTTGTTCATTGCTGCAACAGCAGCTTTGAGCAGGCGTGCATACTTGGCATTGTAGCCAGGCATGGCGGGCGTCAGACCAGGGGACCGTTTGGGGAACAAATAGGAGAGAGGATTCCGCAACTGCCAACCATATTGCAGTTGATTCGGTGTCACACCAGTTGTAGAGTGAATGGAGTTGTACAACCCCTTCACTTTGTGCAACTCCTTGTTCCACGTGTTCTGATCTGGAGCAATTAACGCGCACAGTAATTGAATGACAGTCTGTTTGGTTTCTGCAGCCAATCCATTGGCTTCGGGGTGTCCACCAGAAGTCTTATTGAGTTTGATGTCGTAGATCTGCGAAGTGAAGTCCTTCCAATCAGCACTAATGAACCTGGTGTCCCGATCACTCACAAGAGTTTTCGGGGGCCCATACTGCAGAATGTACTGCTGGTGAAATTCTTCGATCATAAGCTCAGTTGGTGCATGAGGAGGTAGAGGAATCAAATTCAGACTTTTGGAAAAACGATCCACAATGACCATGACTTGTGAATGCCTCCCTCGCTCACCTTCCCCATGTCCGTGAAATCGATAGAGACCGACTCACCGGGCCCATCAGGGATTGGGAGGGGGTTCAGCAGGCCATAAGGCTTATGCCTATGAACGAATGTTCTTTGACAAACTTGACATTCAACAATAAATTTCTGAGCAGATCCCTTCATTCCCGGCCAATCAAACTGCTGCAAAAGGCTTTCATAAGTTTTCTCAAAGCCGAAGTGTCCACTCTGACCATGTGCCAAATCCAAGAAATAAGTCCGGAGAGGCTCATGGTTGGGTACACACAAACGATCAAACTTCCCATACCGGCGGAATACAAGACCCTCACACTCGTGAAAATCAGGCTGACTACTAGGGTCAGCCTTGAGCTGCTCAAGGATGGGACTAAGGTTCGGATCCTTGGCAGTGTGTTTGACCAGATCCTCCTTCAGTTTCCGTCGGAGGTCATATGAGTCCACAAGGTAAGTCAAAAACTCAGGATGGCACGACAAAGCATCAGCAACACGGTTATCACAACCTTTCTTGTGTTTCAGTTCAAAATTGTAAACATCAATGTCATGCAACCAGCGGATCAGCGTCGGAGAGAGATCAATTTGTGTTTTAATCCACTGCAAGGTTTGATGATATGAGTAGACCTTGAAGTGGCGACCCAAGAGGTAGTGCTTCCAATGTGTGAGCGCTTCGCGCAAGGCATAGAGCTCACGCATATACGTGGAGGTAGCTACCTTGTGGTTGGGCATGTGTTTGTTGTAATACTCGAGCGGATGCAGGCCATCGTCATCATCTTGTTGCAACACTGCACGAATCCCATACAAGCTCGCGTCCATAGTGACTACGAACGTGAGGTTGGGATCCGCAATGTGGAGCACATGATGACTTACCAAAGCCTCTTTCAAGGCTTGGAACGCGGTCTTGCATTTCTTACACCACGCATAGGCAACATTTTTGCTTGTTAGTCTCGAGAGTGGGTGAGCAATGACAGAAAATTTGGGTACAAACTTCTGGTAATGCCAAACCAAGGAAATAACGCAATTCGCGCACGTTCGTCGGTTGAGGCCACTTTCGTATGACCTCAACCTTGGTTGCCTCCGACTCAAGGCCGTTTGCAGACAACCGGTGCCCGAGATAGATGGCGCCGTCCCTTCCAAACTCAGATTTCTCTAAGTTGAGGTGCAGTTGTGCCTCCTTGAGGACCTGCAAAACCTCCTCAAGGTGCTGGACGTTCTCTTCCATGGACTTGCTGAAAATCAGGATGTCGTCAAGGTAAACAACAACAAACTTGTTGAGCTGATGGCGGAAAACCTTGTCCATGAGGCACTGAAACGTGGCTGGTGCATTCGTAAGACCGAAGGGCATAACGATGGATCCGTACAACCCATCGCGTGTTTTGAATGCAGTTTTGTGTTGGTCACTCAGATCAACTTCAATCTGGTGGTAGCCAGGGAGAAGACCTTGCACCCACCTGCAACATCTAGCAGATCATCTATGTGCGGCAAGGGATAAGCGTTCTTTCGGGTGATACGATTTAGGCCACGATAGTCAATACACATCTGGAGTTTGCCTCCTTTCTTCGGCACAAACAGGACAGGTGCACCGAACTCAGACTCACTAGGCCTAATCCATCCACGACCAATCATGTCATCAATTTGTCTCAACTCCTTCAACTCGCCTTGTCCCATACGGTAGACGAAGCCCTTTGGAGAAACACTCCCTTCTATTATCTCGATCTTGTGTTTGACCGCACGCTCAGGAACTCCACAAGGTTCAGCCAGAACTTCAGGAAATCGATCTAATAGACGGCGAATGTTTGTTGGGACTTCCGGTGGAGGATCATCCTCATCAAGAAAGAGAAAATCAAATTGAGAATTTACAGCAATTACAACCGAATTTGAAGTACTTGGATCGGAAGTAGAGGTAGTAGAAGTAGAATTACTTTTTGAGGTAGAAAACGCAACAAAAGTAGAAGGCACATGGAGAGGCTTTACAAGAGCTACATGCACATGCTCAACTTCCTTGCACCTGCGCACTGGTTTGCAGAATTTGTTTGCACTCAATAGAGTCACAGGGGACTCGCGCGTCTCGTCCAATAGAACGGTACGCTCGTTCCCCTTTGCATCCGGACCATGAACTGAGTATCTGCCTACGTGGTCCTTACCAGCCCAAGCCAATGACCGCGTCGAAAGGACACTTGTCCAAGATGTAAAAGTTCATCTTGTGTGTGACTATGTGATCCTTGTCAAAGGTGACGCGCACACCTTTGACAACATGTGTTGAGGTGACAA